GTTCTCACTCATATAGTGGACCTTGAACATCCATCGTAATACTATAAGAAAAGGACTGACAGTGGTGGGAAACTATGGGAGGGGAGGGGAAGGGTGGTGGGATTAATGGTAGTACTATCTGTCTGGGGACAGGGAAACACACCTTATCAACAAGGATGCCTGAACGAAGCATATTTGTATACTTAACCCTTAACTGTACTCCACAATATCAAAATAAAAAATATTGATATATTTTTTGTAAAGTCCTTATTTACTCCCCATCCCTCCCCAAATGTACACATAGCCTTTGCTACCATCAACACTCCTCACCTGAGCTCCCTCACCAAGGCAGTATGTTTGTTACAAAGTTTGAACCTTCAAGGGCACATCATTTTCTCTGCAAGGTCCTAGTTTGCACTGGCATTCACTCTCTAGCATGAGGGTAATTTTAGCCTCACAGAATGAATTAGGAAGTATTCCCTCTGCTTCCATTTTCTGGAAGAGCTTCTGTGAAGTCAGCGTTACCCTAATTATCAAAACCACTCACAAGGCATTACAAGAAAAGTACATACCATTTCTCATGAACAGATGCAAAAATTCTCAACAAAAGAATTTGGCAATTCAAATCCAACAAAATTCCTTTCTAAAGATTGTTAATACCATCCATTTAAGATTAAAGATTAAAGAATATAGATCAAATACATAACATTTATTTCATATTTTTATGTTATTCCCTAGGCAGCTTGATAACACTCTATTCATGTTTCTCCAGAGGTTACATTAAGAGTTAGTATGGTTAATTGCATGTGAGTTAAGCCACTCAACCTGGAATGGACTATGTCCTGTGCTTTTTTTTTTTTTCCTCCAATGTGTGGCACTTATTATAGTGCCAAGCATTATAATAGGTATCCACTATGCTTGATGGATGATTGAACTGAGACTTGTTCCGTTAACGCAAAGATCCTAATGAAAGCAGCTTGTTCTCAGCTGGCTTGCAACCCTGCAGGAGTTTGTTGAAGCTGCAATTATGGGAGGGTTTCAGGAATCTATCTGATTTATTTTCTTAGTTCCAAAACTAGAGCAAACATTCAGGAAACAGTGTGTGAAGTGTTGAACAATGTCTCTCAGGCAAGTGCTTTTAAAACTATGACTCATTAAATACATGTTGTGGATTACGATCTTTAAAAAACAAAAATGCAGGAGCAGAAAACCAAACACTGCATGCTCTCACTTACAAATGGGAACTAAACTAAAACTCTGCTAAGGCATAAAGAATGGTATAATAGACACTGGAGATTCAGAAGGAGGAGAGTGGGAAGGGGGGAAGGATGAAATATCACCTATCAGGTACAATATGCACAGGTGGGGTGGTGGTAGGTACATTTAAAGTCCGGATTTCTTTTGCCACTATACTATGCAACCATGTAACCAAAACTATTTGAAATAAGGAGGAAAATTGGCTGGAAGTGGTGGTTCACGCCTGTAATCCCAGCACTTTAGGAGGCTGAGAAGGGAGGATCACTTGAGGCCAGGAGTTCCACACCAGCCTGGGCAACATAGTGAGATCCCCATCTCTAAAAAATTAGAATTAAAAAGGCAACGAGCCAGGCTTGGTGGCTCAGCCTGTAATCCTGCACCTTAGGAGGCCGAGGTGAGGGGATTGCCTGACCCCGCAGGTTCGAGACCCACCCGGGCAACTTGGTGAGACCTCATCTCTACAATAAATCAAAAAATCAGCCAGGTGTGGTAGCGCGCGACTATAGTTCCAGCTACTTGGAAGGCTGAGGTGGAAGAATGGCAAAAGCCCAGCAGGTCGAGGCTGTGGTGGCCAGGAGGGGCCAGTCTGGGTGACAGAGTGAGACTCCGATTCCAAAAAATTAAATAAATAAATAAATAAAATTTTTAAAATGAAAATAAAAAAGGCAATGAATAAATATATAAAAAATCTAAAATAGGCTTAACTATATCAAAATGACACAAAGCAAAGACAAATGCCCTTTCGTCTGCCTTTTGTTTCAAAGTTTTTATGTGCAGATTGGGTCACGACGTAAAAGTGACTCAGACATACGCGTCTTGCTTCCCAGGCTCTGAGATGCGGAGAAGCCCAGGGTGAGCACTTAGGGTGAGCACTTCGGGCGAGGCACAGAGCAGAAGCATGGCAGAAGCACCGCGCAGAGACCCATTCAAGGCACGCGCCCAAGGTGGCGAGAGCCGATTGGCTACACCGAGAAGGCCCCGCCGGCAGCCGCGCTGGCCAATGGCCTGTGGCAAGGCCGGCGGGGCGGGCGTCGCGCAAGGGCTCTGAGTTGCGGCTGCGCGGCCCTCGGCACGCACGCTGGTGCTGGATGGCGCGACCCGCGGGGCGGAGCAGCGGCTGGCAGCAGCGTGGTGCTTGTCCTTGGAGCCATATCTAGGTCCGCGGCGGGCGTCGGCAGCGGGAGTCGACACCGCCGCCTGGGTCGTCGCTTCTTGGTGAAGCCCGGAGCGCCCCAGGCTCCAGAGAGGAGGCCGGCGGAGGAGCCGCCGCGGAGAGGCGGTGAGAAGTGCAGGGGTGGCTGGAGAGGCCCGTCTAGCCCCCCAGAGGACGGGGCCGCTCGTCGCCAGGAACCGCCGCTCTGCCTCGGGCTGAAAACCGCCTGGTCGGCGTGGTGATCGGTGAGAAC